TGACTGAGGATTTGGGATTTTTACAGAGTAAAATCTGAAAATGCCCACTCTGTAGCTGGGTAGTGACCTCAAAACACAGTTGTTGGAAATGTGTGCTGTGCAGAAGATTTTGTGCTAAATCAGGGAGGGGACATTCTTGTTTCTGTCATTTAAGACACTTGGCTGGAACTGGACTTTTTAGTAGAGGGGGTGTTTTGATAAATAGCATGGATTTGAGAGGTTGATGCAGAAGCTGAATGAGTGTCTGGTAGAAATACAGGAAAGAGGACAAATAGTTTAATCCTCATGTTTAAGAATTTAAATGGAAATATTTGGGAATTATCATTATTCTATACATACAGAATGTTCAGTTTTCTGCTGAAATATTTCACAAACTGGTAATTCCTGTAGTAAAACTGTGTAGTTTTCTAACTGTATTTAGTGCTTATAGCACTAAAGGTGCTTTAGTACAGCCTCTGAAGCCAGCACTAATTCTCTGTAGGATCTTTGGAATATCTTCTTTTTAATATCTGGAGTATAAATCTAGCCATGTTCAAACACAAAGTATTTCTGAAGAGTTTATGGTGTGCTTCACTGTAGTTATATTTTGATAAAGCAATGCTACACTTACTTCCCTGAGTAGTGTAAAACACTGTCCCAGGAGCAACTTTTTTAATGTTGAAAACCAGTCAGATAACAAACTTGTCCTTGCAGGATTTGGATCAAAGATACAACACAATTCTCCAGATGTATGGAGAGAAGGCAGAGGAAGCTGAGGAACTCCGACTGGATCTGGAAGATGTGAAAAACATGTACAAGACTCAGATAGATGAACTTTTAAGACAAAGACAAAATTAGTTCCTGCTGGAACTCTTAACATTATATGTTAACAGACTGTAAAGATAACTGTTTATGTAAATGCTGAATTTAAATGTCTTGTAAAAAATAACTGTATCATAGAAAATGTGACTATATCATAGAGTTCCTATGTTGACAGAAAAATCAATGCTTTAAGTGTCCCATTCTGTCTGCAGTTAAATTATTTGTGCAATATTTAATTTTTTTTTTTCAGTCATCCCTTTATTTAAGTCTTTGCTAAATGGTGGGTCATTTTACTTGTAAACAGTAGCAGAGATGATGGTTGTTACCTCATGAGACAGCACTGGAAGGCATGAGTTGTACTAAAACAGCCCTTGATTCATAATTCCTGTAAACCTATGAAAATCACATTAGAAGTCTTTCCTAAGTGTTCTTCATATGAGTTTTTCTAAAACCTGATCAGTTAATTTTTAATAACAAAATAGCAGTGACTTGCTGTCTGAAGCATAATTGGTGGATATTTTTATGACAGCAGAATCTTACATTTGTACTTGCAACATCTGAACATGTTAGGGTGATTATTCTTAAATCAGATTAGTCTGACTATTTTACACTAAGTCCTCTAAAGCAGAGTGTGAGACTCAGATGACACTTTATATTACAGCTTCATCTTGTATATTGCTCATGTTCTTATGAACAGTGTAGAGACAACAGCTCTGCTTGTAATTGTAAATGTGTCTAATTTTAACACCAGAAATCGGAACTACTAAATATTTATCCTAGATTTAGTTGCTGATTTTATAACAGTAGCTAAAACAGTTCAGAAGAATGCAGAAAACTCGTTCTTTTTTAAAAATAAGTTGCTGCAGCTCTCATGGTCCCTTGTATACAAGTAGCAGGGTTTAGACTTTCTGTAAAATTGTACTGCGACTTAATATACTTTTCAAGCCAGTCTCCAGTGGCTTCAAAGTATTTCTCATGCCATTCCTTAAGCAAGGTATTGGTCAAACAGCATCCATGTGACTTGGAGTTGAGCTGCATTTTTGGTAATGTCAGAGGAAACGTTTGAATTGGACCCTTGGGAATGCTGAGAATCGCGGGAAGGAGTTTTCGCCTTCCTCTCTGCATGCCAGAGGCCAAATATTTTGCTGCATTTCGGAACCTACTCGTGTGAAATATTCAGCAGTCGAAATTCTTTGCTTATCATACCAGTGCCTCTGTTGGGAAAGGGTTTTTTTTTTCCCAGATCTGTGCACATTGTAATTTGGGAACTCTCTTCCTGCTTGGGTATTCGGTGGCCTGAGAGAGACAAAGGATGTAAAGGATGAGAAATTGCTTCTGGAGAAAAGTCTCTCGGTAACATGGTTTTACTATTGGTGTTAAGGATTTATTCCTCACTGGGAGAACAGTTAATTCACTGAAGGTACACAGGCAAGGGTATGTTCCTGTAAAATCCTAGTCCAACTTGAGGTTCAGGCAGTTACTCTGAACATTTCAATAATGCCATAGAGCAAAAACACTAAAATTTGTTATAACTCCCCATCTGTCACAGAAACTTTAACTGCTTTAATATTAAATACTTTTTTCTTTTCCTTTTTTTTTTTTTAATGGGGAGGTGGGAGGGAACTATCCTCTTACTGTTTTCATTTCAGATTTGGAAACCATGGTGATTTCATTTTTTTCCTGAAAACCTCAGAATTTAACACTTTTCCTTCATATTGAAGCACAGTTGGTTGCTCTAAGTTTCAAAAAAGCCCCAAACCAACCAACCCCAAACAAAAAACCACTCCTTATAAAAGCACTTTCTGGAGCTTTACTGATTTATTGTGTATTAGAATTATGATGTGCAAAGGTTAGTTCAGCCTTCTCTTAAGAAAACAACTCTTATGATGGTCAAAGATTAGCAATTCTGTTCAGCTTTTATCTGCTACAGGAAATCAATAAATGGCTTGTTTTCAGCACTTTTTTACAATCTTGGTAGACAAATGCAGTACTCTAAAAACAAAAAAAAATCATCCTTTGAACTTTTATTGTGATCTGTTGCTGCCAGTGCTTTTGAAGGTAACATTTCCTGTGTAATTTGTGAGTAGATGCTCCTGAAGGGCTGACACAGGCAGTTCTGAGAATATCTTGGGCTATCTTGGATTTTCAGGAAGAGCTTTGTAAATGGGAAATTTTAATATGCAGTCAGCATTAACTGTTTTCAATGTAAAAACATTTGACAGGTATTAGATTTTTAAATTTTACAAAAGTAGATGTAAATATTTTTATTGACTATTTTTGGATTCTTTATTCCCATTTAGTGCAACCTTTACTATCACCTGAGAATCAGATGGCCTTCTGTGTCTTAATCATCAAAGCCTTAGAAAACAAGGTGGCTGTTGGAAGGTAACATAGACTTTAAAGTATTCTGGTTTGGTCATCTTTGGCATAATTCTTGTATGCTTGTTTTGAAGAAACATTAATGTCTGCGTGGACACATTTTGTTCATTGCTCTTATTGAGTTTGCCTAGAAGAGTAACATGCAAAATTAAAGGTCTTAGGTCAGAATTCTAATATCCATGTCTGTTCAAATTTATTATTTTAGGACATTCCTTCTGAATGCAACTAATTTAGATCTCATTTTTCAGTGCATATGCAAGTATGAAGAAATGCTATTTAAAGGTTTACTCAAAGTACAGTGTTCAGAGGGGGCTGAATTCCCAGCCTTAGTAATGGAAAGGCCTGTGTGGATGTGGGTGGGTGTGGATGAGGAATAGACTCCTCGGTACTTGCTTCCTTTAAGAACACACGTTCAGAATCCCATGAGAGAAGGGTTAGTTCTACTTATTTTTCTTTCCCTAAAAGTTTGTTTTAATTTACATGCCTATGTTTTACTAAGGGCTATAATGATCCTGAGTATGAGGCGAAATGGTTATTGCACGGTAAAATTAAACCCCTTGGTTTCTAGCTGTAAAATGTTTATAAGTGTGTAAAAAGCACGGGTCAGGGTAAAATAAAATTTTGTGCTAAGAGTGTGCTCTGGTTCTCTTTGAGAAAAGACTTAAAACAGTTCCGTAGTGGGTGGATGGGTGTGAACCTGGTGGTGTGAAATGAAAATACCACTCAAGTCAAGAGATACCAGATCTAGCTGGAATTACAGATGCCAGTTCAATTCTTGTGGTGCTGCGGGTATTGAGGTAGAAGAGGGTGGTTTATTTATAAATGCACTGCAGTGATGTGATTACGGATAACGTGAAATTCAGACTAAATTCCTTTATTCAGGTAAGCGGTGTCAGCCCATCTGCCGGCGCGCTCTGTCCCGTGTTCTCCCGCAGGTTTCCTGTGGCAGGCTGGGCGTTTGTTCCTCGTTCCCCACCTGCGAACGAGGGGAGAAGAGCTCTGTGCTGGCGTGGAGGATTCACAGCCCTTGAGTGTTGTCGCCTGTGCCCCCTCCGGCGCTCGGCGCTGCAGGAATTGGGTCAAACCGCAGGAGGTTGCGGGTTCGCAATCCCGGCAGGAGCGCTTGTCGTGTGCCTGCCCCGCAATACCCAGAGGGGACGCAGGGCGTATCATCCACCTCCCTGTGAGGCGGGCAGTGGTCTGAGCGCAGGCGCGGTGCCACCGGAGCCGGCCCGCTCCCGGGACTCGGTGGGGAGCCCTGGAACAAAATGGGGCTGGCCGGGAAGCTCGCTTCCTGCCGAGCGGCGGCAGGAAAAAGCGCCCTGCTTCCTACCGACTGCCGATCGCCGCTCCCGGGGCGGCAGCGCTGGATTTCACCGCAGCAGAAGGAAGACGCGCCGCTTTGATCATACCCCCGCTGAATCCCCCGCGGGCAGGTGCCTCCCCGCCCGGGCCCAAACACTGAGCGCCGCTCGGAGCCCGAAACCGCGGACCCCCGCCTCGCTCCGGGAGCCGGAGCGGCTCCGTCCTTCGACTCCTACCTTCCCTCACTCCTTCCCCGGCTCCCGACCCGCCCCCGGGCGGCGGCGGTCCCGGCGGCCGCAAGAGCTCCGGCCAGCTGGGCTGTTACCCAGGCGCGGGCGGCGGCTGCCGCCCGGTCCTCCCTCCTTCCCCTCCCTCCTTCCCTCCCTCCCTCACACCCGCGGGAGAGCAGCTCTCACACACGGCAGCTGCCCCGGAGCCGGGCCGGGCGCTCCCCCCAGGACAATGAGATTGGCCGGTCGGCGAAGCGCGATACCGGAGGAGCGGCGTCCATGGCCGCGGGGCTGCCGGGGCCGGCGGGGCTGATGGTGCGGTCGATGGGGTGTGATGAGAGTGCGAGCGGATGACACGACAGGATGCGCGATGGGGTGTGATGATGCAGCGTGACCGCGGTGCAAACGGTGACCACGCGGTGCGCTGAGTGGGACGGACGGACGGGACGGGACGGGACGGGGGTGCCGCACGGGGCTCGCTGTGGGCCCGGCATCGGGTCCAGCAGGGGCATGAGCAACGTGGGTCAGACCCGGGTCCAGCCGGGCCGGAGGCTGGGTCCAGTTCTGGGTCCAGTTCTGGGTCCCCCATGGCACCAGCACGGCCCGGCACTGGGTGCCGGGCGCCTTCCCGAAGTGACAGACTCTCAGCCGGCACCCAGGGGCCACCCAGCCCTGGGGACACCGCAGGGTACTGATGGCTTTGAGCTGTGATGGGCACGGTGTGATCCTCCCGATACCCCCCTCCCGCCCCACAGGGCAAGAGAAATGGTTTCTTGCAGCCACCCGACGGGTCAGCAGCGTTCCCGAGCTGTGAAAGGCTGCTCTCATTGCTGGGAATGTGTCTCAAGAAGCAGGACAGTGTCCCAAGGAAAACTCCTTTTACAGGACATACCTAACTCCACTTTTCCTCCTCCTGCATTAGGTTTCTGCACTTGGGAAATCTGAAACGGTTCTCCTCAAACCAAACAGGTAAAACTACTTGTATCGTAGGAATTTTGCTAAAGGCTTCGGTTGAAAGCAAGCATGCAAATTTTAGCAAATTATAATGCCAAAAAAGGTGGGGTTTAGATACAGGCCACGCATTTTTTACCTCAGGAAGTTTAATGGTTCAGAGCAGGGGTGTTTGATGAGAAGGTTGTATTACCAGAAAGGTATGCAGTCAGCTTTAGAGTATACAGATATGTGTGGGCCTGTAGTTAAAGTATGTGTGTATAAAGATATATATATATACTCTTTATATATTTAACTTTTAAATGTAAAGTACATAACTCAGCAGTCAAGTTTCTTTAACATGATGTTAAGCACTAAAACCAGGCATCCTGTAACAGACCTATCTGTGACCATTTATTTGTGACTGTGTAGATTTCCTTCAGCTAATGATTAGTTCAAAGTGGAGAAAATATTTTTATACTTATTTTGAAACTAAAAATCCTTCTTTTCTCACCCTTCCCCCCAGTAGTTCTACATTTTTCTCCCTTCTGACTGGATATTACATGCTCTATACTTAGTTTCCACGCTGAACTCTCAGGATCCCTTGGGAATTAGCTAAAGTAAACACACCCCTTTTAGTTTGACTGGGAGTTGGTGGTGCGTAATAACCCTCGATGACTAATGATTCAGAGATAATCCTGAGGTTGTACAGTCTGGTCTCTCAGTGAAAGTTTGCTCTTCACAGGAAAAAGAAACCACTCCAGAAATGCAAGTACAAATTCTTTGAGTATGTGACTTTGACTGAAATTCGTCTTGTGTGCTTGAAATGCTGCAGAAAAGTTAAACGTCTTTTTTTTTTTTTGTCTTTTTGTTTCTTAATAAATACAGAACTCACGGGTTGCCATGTTTATGTTGCTTGTGTTTGCATTGCTACTGCAAGAAATTCTGGCTAATTCCCAAGCTGAAAATCTTACTGAATTCAGAAACATTCCGGAGGAGCCACTGTATGACTACAAAGCTATCAACTTGCCAGATGAGCATATTCCATACTTTCTGCACAATAACCAGCATGTTGCTGACATCTGTAAGCAGGATGCTCTTTGCCCATATAAAGTAAGCTTACTTTTGTTTGTTTGTTTGTTTAAATTTTATACTGAGGTGGTTTGTTCTTGGAGTCATAGCAGTTAAAGATGGTGATTAATTGGTCTCCTTGCCAATTAGTCAGGAAAAGGGTTTGGCCTAGAACAGACACGTTTTAGACAAGAATAAAGTTGCTGTGGATGTGTGTCCTCTTTGGAACCTCTGTTGTGGATGAAGAATCTGGATGTTCTTTCTGAAATTGTTTGAAAACAAACCAGACCAAAAGCCTTTTATGCAAGGTTTATGAGCAAGGGGTCGTTTAAAATCTAACAACTAACTTAAGTCATTTCCTATTTTGCTGTTGCAAAACCAATTCAGTTATTCTTTGTTACAGAAACACTTGAAGAAACTAAAATCCTGCTGGGGTTATGAGAAATCTTGCAGATCAGATAACAGGTTCAGTTACCCAGTATGTGATTATGTTGAAACTGGATGGTAAGTTTAATTTTAAAAATATACTGTCCATTATGGTAAAAAAAAGAGTGTAGTGGTCACTTTGATATTAGCTGTGAAGCCAACGTTGTTGTGATATTTAGAATTTAAAGGATGATTCTTTGTAGAGACTTGTGTGTATGTATAATGTGTGTATTTATACATAACATGATTTTAAAAATTTAACTTTTTAATGAAGAAAATACTGTTGGAAATGCTTGCTGCCAGAATGTTTTCGTTATTCTGATTTAGCCTTGATTTCAGATTCCTAAAATAACTGTGTATTTCCTTTCTTAGCTTTAAAAACAGAGGGGAAAAAAATGTTAAAAAAAATTTTATACCCTTTTACGGGAGAATAGCTTTAAATTGTCATTGATGTTTTCATTTACATGGAGCTGATAAGTGCTTCCTGTTTTGCATCTTAAATGCCAATAAAGTAACTGGCTGGTTCTTCTCTTCCACTTTCAGTGAAAAAAAATGTTTTCTGTTAAAAGTTATTACTAGAAATAAGCAATAGACCTTGATTTTTTTCCTCTGCCCTTCACACATCAGGGCAAGTGACATTGAGACAGCCCAGCAGATATTCTGGAAACAAGCTGATTTTGGTTATGTTCGAGAGAGGCTCAATGAAATGAAGACCCACTGTAAGCCTGCAGCAACAGTAGGTGTTTCTGGTAGATGTGATACTTTGCACTTGTTTTCAGACATAATTTTTGTTATTGACAGAATTCTGCTTGTTCTTTTCTTAACAGGGGGATTCATCTCTGACCTGTTCCCAGTACCTTCAGCACTGCAGAGCAACAAACTTGTACATTGATTTAAGGACTGTGAAGAGAAACCATGACAGGTGTCTGTTTTGCTTGTGTTATAGTGAGAACGGGGTGGCAGGGAAAAGGATTTGAGACTTTGCTTAACAAAGCTGGTGTGCTTGTTGCTGTGGGCTTTTCTGCTGGTCAGAGACTTGTTGATGAAGTCTCGTTGAGGGGTACACCTCTTCACTGCTGTCTGCTGCTGCTGTCAGCAGTACAGGTTGTTTAAAAACCTAAGTGGTCAGTTTTATGGAGTAATGAGGGGTGATTGAAATAATCCCTTATGATAGAAGAGAGGAAGACTTTTCTGTGTCTTCGGTCATGTCCTTTCTTGATCAGATGATATGCAAAACAGGAAGTTTCCATCTGAGCCACCAAGACCTTTCCTGTGCTGGGTACCTTTATACCAGATCCAGGAACTGCATTTTTAGACGCAGTGTGACTGAAGAGAGATCTGAACCTGGGTCTTCCATATCCCAATTTAAAACGCTACATGTTGGAAAACTGGATAAAAATCATACTGCTGATGCTGGCATCACCTCCTGTCTTATTTCTGAAGTCAGTGTCTTGGGGCACATGACTGCAAAGCAGGTGTTTCATGACTGACAATACCCCTCAGAATGGGTTTTGTCTCTTCTCAGCCTGTCCTGAAAGCTAATTTAGACAGTGCTTTTAGTTGGCATTTTGTTTTCATGAAATTTGTTCTTGCACCTCACTCTTCATATGTTGTATAAAATCCTTGCATAGCGAACTGGGTTGTGAAATCTGAGGTGAATTTCAGCTAGAAGATGTTAAAAACAAACAAAAACTCCAACTAACGTGCTTCTGTGAGTAATCATGGAGCAAAATCTAATTAAGTTACTCATTCAGGTATGTGAAAATGATTCCCAATAACAGTCTGGGTGGATTAGTGCTGTTTTCTGTGTTTTCTAGAACTTCAAGGACACCACTGTCTTTACGTGGGAATTGTGGGAAATCCTTTATTTAAGAAAACACTCAGGTTTTAAATATGTGTGAAGTGCCTTGCTGAACTGAGACTAACCAGCACTGCCTTGAGTATGTAATTGAGATTGCAGGGCACTAGTTAGCTCTGTTGCACCAAAGCTGATCGACTTTTCCTAATTTGCATTAGATTCAAAGAAGACTTTTTCCAGAAGGGAGAGATTGGAGGTCATTGCACCCTCGACGTTAAAGCGTTTTTGGCTGAAGGTCAGCGCAAGAGCCCTCTGCAGTCCTGGTAAGAATCTCTTGTCAAGGATTCTGCTTCCAAGTTCACTCATTAATTATTTTTGATTTTTTGGCATTGGCATTAGCAGCTGTGTGTAGGGGATTTCATACTGAGGAAAGAGTTGCTCCTTTTAGGGTCAGTTTGAGAGTTCATAGTAGATACCTCTGGTAATTGCGTCCATGCAGAATGTCTGAACTGGGGGTAATTGTGTCCTGCCTAATTTACAGCAGCAAAAGATCTGAAAATGTCTTGTAACTGGGAGTTCTAACTTTCAAGTATTTTCTGGGCAAGATGCTGGCTCTCAGCCTAACCTGCCTGTAGGAGGAGATAATTGTTTTGTTGTGAAATGCCTTGAAATTGGCACCTGTGTGTTAGTTCACACAGTCCGTGGTGGTGATGGGGCCAATGCAGCGCCTGAGCTGGATGTGTTCACACAGTGTTCCCAGGGAGCCTGTGCTTGGAACGTGAGATGGGCAACACACTGAGGCTGAGTAGGAAGTGCAGAGTATCACAGTTTGCATGTTAGCACTTCAAAGCTGCATTGCCAGTTAATTGATGAGAGATGAAGGAATCGGAGCCATTAAGGTCCATATTATAATCCATTTTGTGCTTTTCTCATGTTTGGATTTTTTTCCCCCCCTGGTTTTGCCTTGATGGCTAATTTCAGTCGAGAACAGCTGCAGAGGAGGAAAGGACTTTTCTTCTCTACCTGCTACTGTCATTGCAACTGCTCATCCTTGTTTAGATCCAGGAATAAAAAAAACTACATCTACATTCATTATTCTGACCAAAGCATGGAGATTTTGCTGGAGTGTCTTTGTCAATGCAGATCAAGTTGGATGGACCCACAGACCCAGGCTCTAAGGCTCTTTGTTACATCTCTGCTGCCTTGATTTGTAGATCAAAGGTGCTGTTCACTCTTGAGATCAAAGGCAGTGTTTAACCTCCAGAAGCTCATAAACTGAGGAACCCTCCATTATAATTTCAAATCATTTTAATTGTCAGACTCTATCAGTTTTCAGCAGTCCTGTTAAATCAAATGGACTGGATGGACAGTTACTAAACCTTAGGCATATGAACTACATTTGTTTAAGTGTGTTAATGTCAGAACATGTTCTGTGTGATTGAATCTTTCTAGGTTTGCAGAACTCCAGACATTTACTGCATTAGACTTCAGGCCTCTAGAAGATGAAAAGTGTGACATTGTTATTGAAAAGCCAACGTACTTCATGAAATTAGATGCAGGTAATTGGTATCTTTAGTTTATTTTTTTATCCTACAGTACTGCAGTATAAAAAGCCCGTATTCAACTTGCCCATCTACATTATGCCTTTGTGATTGTTAAGTTCACTTGTAATATATTTTTATTTTTTTGAAAAATGGTGTGATTTTTTCCTTCCTTTTTTTCCCCTTCTAGTTCCAGTGATGAACTCGGAAACTTAAATTTGAAAATCTTATTTTTTTCCCACAGATGATTTTAAAAAAATCAAAATAATTTCCTGCTGCCTTGCACAGTGGTTCTCTTGACTGTGGTTTGAGAGTGTTTGTCTTTGTGCCAGAGTCTGTTCTCTACAGAGTCTTTGGCTATGTTTCTTTATGACAGGTTTCATACTGTGAAACACAACCTGTGGGTGTCTGTGTCTTGTAGTATGTGCTCAGTAACAGGATTCTGAGTGTATTGGATGATATGGAAGAGAAGTGGTATTTCAGGAGGGGCAGCACTCAGGCACCTCTGGGAATCAACCAGTGGTATCTGACATTTTTTGAGCTTCACCAGCCTTTTTGTTGGTACAGCACAGTTTGCAGACAGCTGTTAATGGCAGAGGGTGCTCAGGATGTGTTCAGACAAAGCAGCTGCACTGGGGTGAGCTGTGGTTTGAACAGGATGGTTGTGTGCTGTGTTCTGTCCCTGTGACACATGGAAACTGTAACCTGAATTCATCCTCCTCTCGTGCCAATGGCTTCCCTTTTAAGCAAAGCTGTTGTAAGGAACTGGACTGCGTTACCTCCTTTGTTTCGTGGTAGTTTTTTATGCACCCAGGTATTAAGCTTAAGAAACCAAGAATGAACAAGAATGCTCTGAGAGAGAACCTGAGGAATTAATTGGGCTTTGGCTTGTGTGCAAGTACAAGTTCTGTCTTGCAGCTCTGCAGACAGAGCTTCCTTAGCCCCACTAAAGCAGAACCAAGATCAGTGCCCAGGGCCAGCTTTCATGTTTCCTGTGTGTCAAACTGGCTTGTCTTAAAGCAGGAGTTCCTTTCATATCCTTCAGAAAGCAGCTGCAGACTGTAATGAGAAATAGCACATGAAACTTATCTGTTTCTTATGCTTTCTTTTGGCCACTCTACTAACTTCTCTGTACTTTGTAAAACCGTGGTTTACTTCAGATTTTTTACCGTGATTCCGTCCCTTTATAAGTTTGCTTTTTTTAGGGTATATTAGAAGCATTCAGTCAGAAGTAGGGGAAAACTAACATAAAATACAGGATACTGCTAAGGAAAAATGCATGAACCAATAAAGGTGGAAGGAGTGATGCCTGTGCTTTGCTAACAATTCTGTCTTTCTCAGGTGTCAACATGTACCATCACTTCTGTGATTTCGTCAATCTTTACATTACTCAACATATCAATAATTCCTTCAGTACTGATGTCAACATAGTCATGTGGGACACTGTAAGTCTGCTGTGCTTTTGACATATTTGTAATGAGTTGTATTTCTGCTTTGTAGAGACTCTGAAGGCTTTAGTAGCCAATCCCTGGCTTTCCTGTGGGCTTAACCATGTGGAACTGATAAATTTTTGGACACTTTTAATACAGGTGCATGAACAAGAGCTGGGGAACAGATTTTCCCTGATAAACCATGTACTGTTGGAACACTACTCTGTAGCTCAGCTTTTGCTGGTGTGTAGTTATGGCTTTTTTTGGTGTGACCTCAAAAATAATATGATCACTTTTTCTAGTTTGTAGCATTTGAACATTTCATGCTCTTTTCTGTAGGCTTTTTTCTCTCAGAATATTGAAGATTTACTCAACTGTTTCAGTCTTACATTTCTCTAAATCAGTAATGTGCAGCCTGTAATAAAGAAAACAACTAGATTAAATCCTTGTATATGTATCAAAACAGGGTCTAATATTTAATTTCTTTAAATTAAAGAATTTGCAGTTACTTCTCTCCATCACCTCTCAGAATACCTTGATGACATATAAAACAAGTTTTTAAGTGGGGCTGTTTCTGTTGTACTGCTGAGTTGAAACCATGACTGTATTTAAGAGTAATATTAGTTTTACTGCCCAGTATTTAGGTGGTATAAGAGACTGTTAAACTAAATAATGAACAACTGAGGAATTTGTAATATGCCAGATAATGTGTATAATCAGGTCCAGAAATAACACAGTTCTTGAGTATGGTATTGTCACATGTCTGTTTTGTGCTCGTGAAGTGCTGTGTTTTCTTTCTGAGTATTTACTGCTAGGACAGCTAAAATTCAATAGAGAACTGCTTGCTATTTAATGAGAAACCTCTTTGACTGGAAGAGACCCTTTTTTTTTTTTGTTCTATTACATTTTTAAAGATAAAATGCCATCTGCTAGATAAGTGAGCTCTCTAGATGTTATACAGGGACTTGTTAATCCAGATTTTATGACTTTTCAAAAAGATCAGATGTCAGACAGCATTGTAAATTACTTTGAAAAGCAGCTCTTTGTCTTATATCTCATTGTTGAATCAAATAACTCTTTCAAATGTCCCATTCAAAGTACTGTCACAGTACTATCATTTTAAATGAGCTTTACCTGCTCAGGCTGCTCGAGTTCATTGCTGTGTACAGCCAGGTGATGGCACCAGTCAACTGTCTGTGCTGATCAAAAGGTGGACTTGAGCTTATTATTCATTCTCTTTTTTTCTTTTTTTAGCTTGATGCAATTAGATTTGGCCATACTTCCTAGCTACTGTTATTAAACAGTAGTGCCCTTAGATGTAGGTTAAACAAAGCAGAAAACGAGGGGGGGTTGGTTTGGAGACCGTCTCTGCAAATGCAGGGAAGAAATGTTTATGAAGCACTTTTAAGGAGAGCAGAGAGGGTTAGAAAGTGGTACTTTCATCAGTTCTCTACTTTTAACCCGGAAGAGCAGTTCTTGTGATACAGATGACCAGAAAGTAGTTTGGATTGTAAAATCCATTAAAACCTAATGGCAGAGGAAGGGGAAGGAAAGCGCCTTGTCAGCTGAAGGAAATCTGGTGCCCTTTAGATTTTTACATCTCAGTAGATATATGTTCTTTTCTGTGATCATTTGTAGTCTGATTTTCAAATTTCTTGTCGAGAATATTCCCACATAACTTTCCCATCAGCCTGAACCAGCCCCGGAGTTGAAAGGAAGCTTTAAGTGAGGAATCTGCACCAGGGCTACTGAGGGCACGTTTAATTGCGTTCAAAGAGCAAGGGGTGGTGACTCAGCCCTGGGATGTGCAGGAAATGTGACAGATTGGAAGGCAAGAGCCCCTGGGGACAGGCTGATGTTGTAGGGAGTAGATGGCTCTTTAAAGGTTCCACAGAGTGTTGCTGCAAAGGGAAAAGTTTTTTACTGCCCTGTATAGAAACTTCTGAGCTGTTTCTCCCATCAAATCACATCATTGCCTTTGGTTTGTGATACATGTGCAATATGCAAGTGACAATTCCAGAGGAGAGGCAAAGGCAAAACAAGCTTGTTGTGACTTTTTACCTCAAACCTTACTGCTGCATGTGAATTCCCAGGTGGTTTTTAGTCTCAGGACTAGGTCTCAGGAATTGTGGTTTGCACCCTCTACCATCCCTGTGTTTCTTTTACTTCAAATTTAACTTGTCTTCTGTTGTCTCTGGGAAAAGTAGTTGGTATTCTCTCTCTGACTCAGAAATTTTAATCTGCTACTGAAGTACTCATCTAGATTGCTAATTTATAGAAGTTTTTATTAAAAATTAACTACCTGACAGGTAATTTGAGTTATCTGTCACTGTAAAGAGAGAGTTTGGTGTTGTGTCATGTCTGTGTTCTGTGCTAGGCTGTTTTGGGTACTGTGATGGTGTTGCACATATTAACTGTGTATTAGAACTTGTATACAGAGCTTGAATCATGAAGAGAAGTTCTAATATGTATTTATGTAATCCTTATGCCCTTGTGTTTTTTGCTTTCCTCCCAGAGCTCGTATGGCTACGGTGACCTGTTCAGTGAGACATGGAAGGCATTTACTGACTACGAAATAATACACTTGAAAACCTTTGACTCTAAAAGGGTATGGAATTTTATATGTTGTTTGAATGCATAGTCACTAGGGAGCAAATATGACAACTTCTCAAGCTGCTTGTGGTTATGGGTGTTTCAGATGAAAGCATTAATACCTCCCATGCATGTTTAATTTGTGTAATATGAGTATTCTACCTTAGAAACGAGAGTCAGAGCTGTAACCTAATTCTGTGGTGTGTCTATCCTTTATGTAGATGGACCTTAGTTTTGTGTCCTGAGAGATGGTGGTATTCATATGTGGGGTTTCCTTCTGCAGGGACCCATTACTGAAGTTAAGGGTTCTGTCTTTCTAAGTCTTCTGACTCCTCCCGAGGTGTTTCTTTTCCCCTGTAACTTCTGGCATACCTGCTGCTTATCATTAAAAAAATTTTACACCACCAAATGTAACCATTCATTCACAGCTCATTTTAGTCTCTTAAATCCAGTCTTAAACTCATTAACTGGCTTACTTCTATTTAGTTCATGTTTGTTCTGTTTCAGGGTGTTTTTTTCTCCTCTCCCCACACTTGCATCCATAGGGTCCCAAGTGAGAGCTCTTTTGGGATCAGGATTGTCTTTGTTCTGTTCATTTGCACAGTCAAGGAAGTGGGGTTGCTCTTGATGGGAGCAGTAATTGCTGGCTCATTAGAAGCAGGGATCCCAGTGAAGGAGGCAGTGGAAGGTGGCAGTGGGGTGTAACTCCCTGTGATCTCCTTTGCAGGTGTGCTTTAAAGAAGCAGTGTTCTCGTTGCTGCCTCGGATGCGATATGGCTTGTTCTACAACACTCCACTGGTGAGTCCCATTTAGCCATCCACTGTTAACTGGATGTGTGTGTGACAGTGTGAAATCTGAGCTGATGAATCCCTCCAATATCCAGCTGAGCTATCATGGAATGTACCGCAGGGAAGGTCCAACTCCAAATGGAATGATCTCCCCTGAAGATTAGGATTTTGAAGTTCTTTAACTGGTTGTGTGCAGTCCCCTCTGTCACAGCTCAGGAGATGCATATTGTTCTTCTTTAATGGGTGAGCACTGTGAACTTACTGGTATTTTTGCAGAGCACAAGACCTTGAACACAGTCAGACTTTCCCAATGGTATTAGCTCATGCATTCAGGCTCTAACACTAGAGAGAGTTATATTTCTTTCTAAATGAAAGTGCCACTTGTGTTACAGTGAATAGTGACATGTTTAGCACAGTGCATGATACTGGGCTTTTGTTCCACAAGAATGGCAAAAAAACTGATCACAAAGCACAGTTTTCTGAGCAAAATAACTCTGTATGTTAACAATTGCTTTTTTAATTTCAGATCTCTGGCTGTCACGGTACAGGGCTGTTCAGAGCGTTTTCTCAGCATGTGTTACACAGGTTAAACATTACACAAGAAGGACCCAAGGTATGATAACTGAATAATGGCAACTGTAATGTGGAGCTGATGGCTCTTAACAGAGAAACAGCATTAGGAAATAGGAGCCAGTGGGGAATGAGGGTGTATTGTGCACTTTTTGTCTTTTCCTGTGATACCTGGGATTTTTTGCCTAGTAAGTCAACCTGTTCTGTAAAAACCTTCAGCAAACTGTGTGTATTTGTGAAAGTTGCCCTTTTGTCTTTTTTTCCATAGGACAGACTTTAGAACATTCTAAGGGTCTCATCCCTGTATCCATTCTCTCTGCCAAAGGCCTTGGTGTCCTTCCTGGTTAAGTAATACGTGTTACATGTTCTGAGAAGGTGCTGCCCTTGGGTCCAGCAGAAGGGATCCCTTGGAGCAGTGCCCTTTATCAACCCTCATAGGTACTGCTGAGCTCGGATCAGGGGAGGAAACGATGGAATCTGGTCCTTCCATCCTTGCCCAGCACCATCTGTGTGGCCCTGGGCAGGGAACTGTTGTACCCACTGGTGGTTTTTGCACGTGGCATTGATGGGCACAGCAGTTCAGGGCTGGCTGAAGGATTTTCCAGAGGGTAGCCTGTGTATTGTGGCTGAGGGGCACCATTCAGAGCTCTGCACAGGCATTTAGTTATGCTTCTGCTGACACTAATGGGAGTCATGCAGTTAAATCTCTTTATTTCACTTGGAATGCTTACCCCTGTGAGTCCAATTAATTAAAAGAGGCAAAAGGAGGAACTGTTAGAGAAGTAAAATATTTTTTTCCCAAGGATCTTGTGCACAAGCCATCTTGAAAGCTGCTCTCCTGCTTTCAAAAACTGCCATATAATGTGTAATACAAAGGCTCTTTTGTACTGAATAAAATAAACCTTTCAGAAAATATTTCATTCTTGGTTAATAATCAGACTTTCACAAAGTTTTTGACACTTTGAGTCTGTTGGGAAATGGGATGTGAATTTTAAGATGGTTACATCATCTGTTTATTACATGTGGAAGGAACATATTTGGTTGCTCAAATATTTGCCAAAAGTAAATATGGAAGTGTCTGGGATTGTTTTTGTGAGGTCTGCCTCTCAGCTAACACACTGCTCCTTCTTTCTTCTCAGGATGGGAAAATTCGAGTCACGATACTTGCACGCAGTACAGATTACAGGAAAATATTAAACCAGAATGAGGTGTGGTCCTTTTTATTTTTATTTTTAAAAACAGATTTATTAGAAGTTAAGTTTTGCTCGTTGGATTGATTTTTTTTTTTTTTTTTGGGTAGAGTCAAGACATCTATTTGCTGACAAATCTTGGACAAATATGTCCAATGCTTATATTAATTTCTTCTAATATGTCTTGTAGCCAGTCTCCATTTCTGTACACCAGACACTGGACCTTGCTGCCCTTTCTAAATATTGAATGGGAGACTACAAATGTAATAATAGAAGTATTTCCTCTCAGCAAACACACTGCAGAGCTTCTAATAAAATTAAATTACTTCGCTTTCAGATTATTTCTTTTATTTACAGCATCCTCAGTGCTGAAGTCTAACAAAACCCTTTGTAATGTCTGCAGATTGAAATGCATAAGCCATTGTACTTGAGTATGTGCACTCAAAACTTAATGAATTCTCATATTGATTCATGTTTTCGAATCATTCAACTTACTGGACTTACAGTGTAGCCTCTTTTGTGGTCAAATGGTCATATTTAATATTTTCACACCTGTTTTCATTCCTGCTGTTTAGTGCCTGACAAAAATGAATTGGGATTATCATCCCCACCTTATTTAGGGAGAAGCTGAGGTTTGTGTGATGCAGTAGCTCAGTGACAGAACAGACAGAACAAAGGATTTGTGCTTTATCTGCTGGGCTGTCCTCAGTTCATGACTCACTGCTGCATGTAGTGTGAGTTCTGGTCAAGTGCACATGACAAAGGGAGAAGTTAGTTTTATTTCTACCATACTTCTGTAAAAGAAAATGCTTGACTCTTTCTCCCTCTACTGCTGGCTATGGATTGGAGACTCTCCAAAAGCCCTTTAGTTCTGAAGCCCAGGTCTAACCTGTTTTCACTTCTCATGTCAGTAAGAGTCTGACCTAGTAATGGATTTTTGAAAATCTTTCTAGTTACCAATTCCCTGGTGGGGAGGAGAAGTGTGTGAAGTGGTCAGGAGTGCAGGGGAGCAATTAATTGAAGGAGAACACCAAATCATTGTCTTTTTATTCTCCTCCTCAGCTCGTGAATGCTTTGAAAACAGTATCAACGTTGGAGGTCAAGGTGGTGGACTACAAATACAAGTACGTAAGTTGGTGGAAGAATCTGGTGTGTGCTGCCTGTGGCTGGGGAAGCTGTTTGCAGGCAGGGCTGTGTCTGTCCTCCTGTCCAACCTGTGCAAAATCCAAGGACTGGGAAGGAAGAGTGTTACTGAGGGAGTGGTGGGTGAGCTAGTCGAGCCCTCCTGTTCTATGATGCTCTGCTTAGGACTGAATCTCTAGAGCAGCAGGTTCAGATTAAAGCTATTACACAACGAACAAGTTTTGAAATCACTTTTCTTTCTGTTTCATCCCTTCTCCCCAAACCAGCTGTGTTCCCATCACCCTTTTACATTTGCTAATGCCCTGCAGAAACTGTAGGTCAACAGGGATTTCTCTTGTATGATGCCAGTGCCTTATTTTATGTGACCCTTAGCTTAGTAAGGAATAATAACTCTCCTTATTTAACACTCTGGTGGCCCCCGGAGACACCACTTGAGGTCAGTTTGGGGTGCCAGGTGTAGCAGGCACTGTGCCAGTAAGAAATGGATTGAAGGAAAGGTTCCCAAATAGTGCATACCTGTGCCAAATGGCAACAGCTCCATGTACTCACTGGTGCTTCCATGGATCATGCAGGAAGAGTGGGATACTGAAACAATAGTGGGAGACCAGTGTTCTGACCAAAACAGAGACAATGTGAGGAAGTTTATTTGTGTACTTCAGTATCACATTGAATACAGTTCAGAAACAGTTTTAAGTCTTTAATGTTGGATTTTCAGGTGTGTTTTTTTTTTCTGGTTTGGTTTTCTTTTTTTAAGGAAGTGATGTAATTTATTTTAAAGACAAATAAAAAGAAAACCGCAAACTTACAAAAACTTTAACTTGAAAGAAAATATTTTTGAAAGAGATCCTTGTGAAGTTTTGAAACCTGCCTGCATTTCGAGTTCCATGCTGAGTTATTGCTGGCTGCAGCATTTGTGATTCTTAGTATTCTTCCTTGAAAAATCAGTTCTGTCTTTCTCTATTCCCTTAAGCTAATTTTGTGCTTTCTCAATGTGATCCTTACTGCTGTGGATAGACCTGCCACATGACCAGTTGTGTTGTGTTGTCTGCAGGGAACTTGAATTTTCGGAGCAATTGAGAATTACCCACAACTCTGATATATTCATCGGGATGCACGGAGCTGGACTGACCCATTTGCTCTTTCTACCAGACTGGGCTGTTGTTTTTGAGCTGTAAGTCTGTCTGTCTTTCCCCTCTATTGTACACAACTGCTCATGTCTGTTGCTATGTGTTAATGAAACCTCTCCCTTGCTAGTATTTGACCATGAATGTCTGTCTTGCATCCTTGTTTATACTTAATTTTTGGCAGCCTCCTCTTCTGGGTATTGAAAGAGAGGAAGCCTTCATTATAAAATGTAGTGTAATTACATCATACAGGTTTAGTCTGTGATTTCCTAATATACCATGGTAGAAATAAAATGCAGAAATTTCTTGGAGGAAATGGCAAACATTGGGAAAACTTCACTGCTCAGATCCTGCAGGTGTGCCTGGGATCTAAGGGTGTTTTGGTGACCCAGGTAAATTGATTACATCAAGTGCATGTCCAAGGGTGTTAGAGATCCCCTGAAGGTTTTTTTATCCCTTTTTGTGCTCAGAACATGAGCACCAGTGTGCTGGCCAAGGTCAGCCCTGTGTCATTCTGTTTTGCTGAGATTCCTCTCGTAGCTTCCTTTTAAATGTATTTTGTCACGAAGTACGGGTATTAACAGACACTCCAGTTCTACAGAACTGAACAAAAATGCAGAATACTTGTCAGAAGAGCACTGAATTCTCCATCCTGGGAAATTTTGCTGTGGGAAGGCTGCAGAGCTGGTGTTTGGCAGCCTAGTCTTGGCTTGAGAGTATTTTGTCCAGTCTCCAGGTAAAGTTCAGAAACCCAGAGGTTTTTTTCACATGTCCAAGAGCTGCTGCAGCTGGACAAGGACATGCCTGACATGCAGATGTTCCTCAAACTGCCTCCTAGGCCAGTTGTTTTCAGTTGAGCAGAAATTTGTCCACGGTTTTGTTGCCTTAGAACTGAAAAACATGTTGCAACTTGCAGAATTTTTTCCTGTTTCATCCTTTGGCACAGTCTGTGTAGGTAAATATGTTTTTTTATGCCTGTCCTTAGATACAATTGTGAAGATGAACGTTGTTACCTGGATTTGGCAAGGCTGAGAGGGATTCATTACATCACTTGGAGGAAAAGGAATAAAGTATTCCCTCAGGATCGGGTAATGATGGTCACTGCTGGGAGGGTGAAGTGCTCTAACTGAAGCATTTTAGGGTTATCTTGCTTAACCTATCTGTGTTCTGGTATTTGAAATACAGTTTTCATTCTTTAGACCAAATTAACTCCCCTGATGTGATAACGAAATTATTTCATGTTAATGGCTGAGGGAAGAAGAGAAATTAAATTAATTTGCCATTAATCCAAGCCATCCATAGCACTGCTGTTCTGCAGTTACTTTGCTGATTCTTTTGCCTCAGAGCAGATCAGTGGATCAGAAAGAATAAATTAAAATGGCATATTTTCAATATTTTTTTTTGCATTTTTGAATAAAGATGCATTGATTTTTTTTTTCTGTCTAAAATTCCTTATCTCGTTTTTCTAGGGACACCACCCAACACTGGGAGAACATCCAAAATTTACAAACTACTCCTTTGATGTAGAAGAATTTATGTACTTGGTGCTTCTGGCTGCAAATCATGTTTCACAGCATTCCAAGTGGCCATTTAGGGTAAAACATGATGAATTCTAAATTAGATTTCTGACTGAAATACTGTTTTTAAATAATCACGGAATGGCCTGGGTTGGAAGGGACCTTAAAGATCATCCAGTTCCAAACCCCTCCCCTGGGTAGGGACACCTTCCACTAGACCAAGTTGCTCAGAGCCCCATCCAACCTGGCCTTGAACACTTCCGGGGGGGGCCAGCCACAGCTTCTCTGGGTAACCTGTGCCAGGGCCTCACCAGCCTCACAGGGAAGAATTTTTTCCTTGTATTTAATCTAAACCTGCTCTCTTTCATTTCGAAGCCATTCCCCCTTGTCCTGTCACTCCACACCCTTGTCCAAAGTCCCTCTCCAGCTTTTTTGTAGCCCCTTTAGGCACTAGAAGGAGCTCTAAGGTCTCCCCAGAGCCTTTTCTTCTCCAGGCTGGATGTCCCCAGCTCTCCCAGCCTGTCTCCAGAGCAGAGGGGCTCCAGCCCTCGGATCATCTGCGTGTCCCTCCTCTGGACTCGCTCCAGCAGGTCACTGATCTCCTTTTGGACATCAAGTCATTGACCACAACTCTGAGTGCAGCCACACAGCCAGCTCCTTATCCATCCTCATAATGCTCCATAAAAATACTGTAACAACAGGAAGCAAAGTGCTGTTGTAAAATGTGTAAACTTCTACGAGGGAAATAACCCGTCTTTAATTTGTCAGACCACTCCTTAGCATCGTACCTCTATTTTTCAGGACTCTTTTTGCACTGTATTTTTGCATTCCAAATTCTGAAATACTCATCTTTATACAAAGATATGTCCATCCATTTCATGTAAGGTTTTCTGGGGTAGATACAGTGTCAAGAGACTCTGGCAACTCCCTATTTTAAGTTTAGAAACATTTTCACATTAGAGAGCACAGTCTTTTGTTTTTACATTTAAATATAAGCTTTGATTCCTCTCACTTTAGTTTTAAGTGCTCAAATATAACGGGTCAGTAGGTTCAGTCAGACTTCTGTCTCAGAGCAGGGCAATCTTTTCCTGATTGAATACTTAAAGCTTCAGGTAAACTGGGTGTTTCCTACTTTTTCACATAAACCAGCATGTTGCATTGGAAAACTTGATCAAATTGGAATAAAACTTGAGTCTTTTTGAGGATGATAAAGGGAATGGACTTCTATTTTTTTATGACAAATGATAAAATGTGTACAGTGTCTTTCAGCTGCAGCTGAAAGGAAAGGAATTCATGAGGAACCTTGGAGTCATTAAAAGAGTATTTGTTAATATTCTTATTTCCTAAAAATGTTGAAGAGTCAATCTAGAAAACTTCTTAAAACCTTCCCAAAGCCAGTAGCACAGTTCACTGTTTCCAGTGAAGGAAATACTAAGCCAAAGCTGAGTTCTTTATGAAATTGCCCCCCTCGACCAGGGCTGACATGTTTGTGCTGGTGGGGAAAAAAAAGGGAGTAGTTGTGTTCTCTTAAGTGGATCCAGAAGGATGTGTGAAAGAATCAAGTCAGTGAGATAAAAACCAGAGTTTTATGTTAAATTATAGATTTTTTGGGGAATGTGTTCCTGTGCTAGACTTGCAGTTCAGCCATGCAGTGCTGGTGGCACGAGGCAGAGCACACATTTGTATGGAAAAGCAGGAGAGTTCCAGTGAATGTAAACATTTCACTGGTCTAATTGTAGATGTTATTGACTTCCCTTCTCCAGCAGTTGTAGGCAATTCCACAGAGTGTAGGTGCATTTACTGACCTGGCTGTACTGGGAGGGATGAGTTCCTGTAAGCACAATTTCCATATAGATCTCTCATGACCTTAAGCAGTGCATAGGGAAAGCTGGATAGAGCTGAGACCTTTGTATATCTTGTGTATCTGGTGCAATTCTTCCTGTAGTGTGTTGTTTTACTGAGGGAGAAAACTGTTTCACTTTAAAGAACCACAGAAGCAAAATTGCACTTTTTGACATATGGAGAAAAAGAAAAAAGCCCTCGAGAAATACAATTTCCTGTATTTGTGTCTGTGTGGGTTTTTTACCTTGTGGGATTTTTAAAGGAAAAAAATGCATGAAACTTAAGTTGGTAAAATGCTTGAGTTTGAATGAAATCAAGTCAAAATAAAGAAGACATTTAATTATGAAATACACATGAGAGTTTTTTAATATAAAGCTTTTTAATAAAAAAAAAATTGTCATAGTTTGCCAAGTTTTAGAGGCAAATGTTTTAAATATTATTAATTGCATGGAGTCACATGTCTCTGCTTTCTCCTCCATGACAGCCTGATATTCTGAGATCCAAAGTGATACTCGGATCTCTTCATCTGGGGATCATTTAGAGGTAATGCTGCCATCCTGCACTGATGGCTTTGGTGCCAGGCTTTTGAAGACTGGTTTGTGAAAGTAGTTGTATATGTTTAATGGTGCAGGTGATGCTGCTGAAGGCAGTGTGTGAGTGCAGGCATGTGCTTGAGTCTGTGTAGAAGCAGCTAATGAGGAGCTGCTCTTTCAAGTGATCACTAAAACAAATGGTTGAACATATGCATGGAGGAGAGGCTGCAGGGACTTAATCCAAGGGCAAAATATCCTGCCAACGTTCACCAGTTTCAGCAAATTTGAGTGCAGCATCAACAGTTGATGGCCAGGACATTATTCAGCCTTTATGGCTTAATATTGCTGGGATGAAAATACTGGCTTTGTTGATTAACTCTACAAATAGTCACAAAATTATCTTGGCAGCAGAACAGGCTTGGTTGGATTAATGGGGTTTTGCCAATAAATCCTGAGAGAGTTTGGACAACAGCAAAGATCTGGCTTGTGGCTTTCTTCCAGAGGGTCTGGGCCATCTCTGGCTGTCTGGAAGCTGGAATTTGAAGGAATCCATGAGGCTTTTGGGCCTGTTGTTCTTTAGGCAGGATATAACTCTGGATTATGTTTTCCTAACAGACTATGGAAATCTTGTTCCTTGCTATTTCTGATTTTTGTTTGTTTGTTTTGCTCTCCAGTTTACCCAAGTTTAGAGTCTGTTTTTAACTGGCACATTGGCATCAGCGTGATGAATTTCATTTTGGGACTTCACATGACGTTGCCAATCCTGAACACTTATGGGATTGCCTGTGTCTCATGTACAGTGTAAACTGGGGGCTGGATTTGAAATAAAAAATAATTTATGGATGCACGTGATGTCTTTCTTTTTTACTTCAGAAGGCTTCAAGGTGTAATTTCAGGTTTTTTCTTTGGGAAGTTCTGCAGAAGTTGGGTAAGTGTGAGAAATGGTTTGTTGTGGGAAGGTGGCAAATCAGGATTATTAATCTTAAGAGTACAATTATAAATATTAAAGTAATAAATTTTTAAAAGCAGTTAAATAATAATAGAATTATTTAATTTTTCTGTTAATCTTACCAGTACCATTAATGAGATAACTCAGGGTTTAGAATGTTTCTTAATCTTGTATTTTTTTAAGGAGAAAAACGGAAGGAAACGTTCTCCTTGAGAGCTTTTTGTGTGCTCAGAAGGGTAAAATGTTTGATTTCAACATTGAGTAATTGTTTCAATTTGCAATGTTTGCCTCAAGTTGCGCTCTTACTTTCTCTGAACACACATTTCTCATGGATTGGGCTTTTTGTCTGAAATAAATGAACTGCTATTAAATACTCTCCAGCTTTGGCCCTGAAATGGTCACAGAAGCTGGTCTTTTTGGTGTTCATTCATGAATTCTTGTTCTGGCCGGGGGTGGTCGCCACAGTTGGATAGACCTGACAGCACATTCACAGATGTATAGTTTAATTGGCTGTTGTCCTCTCTTAGAAAAGTGAAGTATTTTTATAATATAAAAATATAATATAAATGCAAAATAACCTTTATATATAAATAAAATACAGTAATATATAAATATACATAATATTAACTATTTCAGTTATTACCATTGTCTTCTGGATAAGTGAATAAAACTCAAATTGCAAACTGTATCTTAATTTCATTTATGTTTTCTTGGTTTCCCTTCCCCTTCCAATCATTCCATGGCAAATCAAAAAGGAGAAGTAGCAAAAAGGAAAAATGACACTGTTACAGAGAATAAATTTATTTTGAGTATGTATAACTTCTACAATGGCATTGTTCTTTACCTTGGGTATTTTTTTAAAATCAGATCTGGTTTGGGCCTTTAGAGAAGTGTTATTAATGTAGTACATAAAGTCTATAAAGCTTTTGAGTAGTGGGTGACAAATCAATTGTCTGGAGCTCAGCTCCCCATCACTTGGGAACAAAGCAGTGTCAGGAATATTAATTCTGGTTACCAGGTCTTTGAGAGTCAGATTTGTTGAAAACTGAAGAAAAGATGACGTTCAGTCGTGATTTGAAAAGCAAAAGTTCAGCATGGATCCGTTATTTTCCAGTTTGTCCTGATAATAATGTTGCTGTTGAATACAAAATGCTCTCAGTAAAGACAACATGTGGGAAAAAATGAACTCTTACCAAACCAGACATCACTGGTACAGCCTGGGGAAAAGGGGGCTCAGGGGGGACCTTCTGGCTCTCTGCAACTCCCTGACAGGAGAGGGGAGCCAGGTGGGAGTTGGGCTCTGCTTCCAGGATGAGAGGAAATGGTCTCAAGTTGCACCAGAAGAGGTTTTATATTGGATATTAGGGAAAATTGCTTCACCTAAATAGTTGTCAAGCACTGGCACAGCCTGCCCAGGGAAGTGGTGGAGTCACCATCCCTGTGGGTATTTAAAAGATGTGTAGATGTGGCACTTGGAGACGTTTTAGTGGTGGCCTTGGCAGTGCTGGGTTAATGGTTGGACTCAGTGACCTAAAAGGCCTTTTCTAACCTAAATGGTTCTCTGTTTTCATGCTGGTTAATGCCAGCTCAGCACTTGAAATCTGCTTTCTGTGCTCACGTGCTCCCCGGCAGTGCCGTGGCTGTTTCAGCGCATCCTTCAGGAGAGCCCACTGGCACCCAGTGCCCTGCTGGGAGGTGCCAGCCCGGTGTCCTGCTGGTCCCAGGGCTCTCTGCAGACTGGAAATGCCTTTTGCCTCGGAGGGACGCCCGATTTCCAGGTAAGGCAGGCGAGCGTTCCCTACCTATTGTGGCAGAGTGCAGTAGGTGTCACTAGAGCCCTTTCCAACGTTCGAGGGGAATCTCATTTCGGATGCAGAAGCCGCTCACAGAGGAGCACAACAAAGCAACCGCTCCTGCAGTCACGATTTTGTTTTCCACCTTCCTGTTTGCAGAAGGAAATACCTGCAGAAGAAATTAATCCAGGGAGATTTTAGCTTTTAGCCCAGGATGATTCAGCTGCTATAATATTGGTATATTTTTCTCCGGGTTTTCTTTAAGCAACTTAGTTGGTGTTGGAAAATAATTTCAGTTTGTTTTTCAGTTCAGCAAAAATTTTCAGTTAATCTTTTGTTGCAAAATGCTGCTTCTCATTTTGTTCTAAAAACACTTTTTACTGAATTGTTTTTGTTTAGTAGTTAATGAAATTCCTGTTTTGCTGCAAAATCTTGATTTCCACTTAGGCAGCACATTGCCCAGTCACACCATATATCCTGCACCTTCCTCTACCTAATTACTTGTCCCATGTAGTGCACTGGAGTGTGTGTGTGTGTGCATATGCACCTGGTGTCGTTAAAATATAAACCACTGACACTTGGAAAACAGTTAGAAAATACTGGAAAATGGTGGAGTTGTTATTCGGTTTATAAAAAAAAGCAATTACCATGAAGACATTTGTTTTTTTAAAGAAAAATAGGTTGGTTTTGTAGATTTCCCCCTTTCTAAACTTTCCAGTTCCATAGTTGGTCTTTAAAAGGGAGTTGATTGACTTCTCTTTGCAGGTTTGGGAAGCTTTGGGCAGACTCAGGGAGGGCTGTGGTGTCTGGCCTTGTCCCTGCACATTGGTTAAAGCCAGTGGAGATGATTTCCCTGCCTCACATCTGATCCACAGCTTTCAACAGCTGAGCAAAGTAAAAATAAGCTTTAAATGTTAATATAGGGTAGTAATTGTTTGAACTGTCGTGCAAGAAGGGTGGAAAGCAGGTGAGTTTTGCAATATGATGGAAGCACTGAAGGAGGGCACATGTGACACAAGAGCATTACATCCATCCTCAGCTTTGATGGTTGAATTGGGTTTAATCAGGTCCCCATGTGTGAAGAAACCTCAAAACTGTCATTTTGTTTTCAGTGGTGCAGGGTGAGGACAGTGAAGGTCAATAACTGACTGGTACAACTTGGCATCTCTGTGCCATTCTCCACAGATCTGTGTCAGGTGAGGAGCTTGGACAGATCCTGAACACTCAGTGAAGTGTGGGCAGCTCTGGTGGAGACCACAGCAGGTGTTATCCCTGTTTGGCATTTGATTTTTTTGCATCTTGGAGGTAATTAAAATGCTCATCATGGTGATGTGTCAGGTGTGGTAACCTGCCCTGGTGCTTGGGACGTGCAGGAGGCGGCTGTGCCCGGGGTGGGGAGGGATGGTCACTCTGGTCAGGGCTCTGTGAGGATCCTGGCACCAGTAAGAGGGCAGTGGTGACCACACTGGACATCATTCATTACCCCATCAAGGGCTCTGAGCATCCATCAGCACAAAGGCGTGTGTGCCGAGCTGACAGCTCCGAATTGTTTCCTCACCAATTACCGCGCCGGAGCCTTGATAGCGTAATGAAATGTGCCTCCTACCTATCACTTCATCTTTGTCAAACTGACTGGGTGTTCTTAGTTTGTTATGACTGGGAGAACTTCAGCGGCGTCAGAAAAATAAGCGAGGCTGTCTCTGGTGTGAAAGGCTTAAAGACGGGTGGATGCTGTTAAATAGAAATGCCTCGGTCCAGATGAAAATGTACATGGAAAAAAACCCTCACAGACCAGCTGAGCCCTCTCAGCTCTGTCATCATTTGGGACCCAGTGGGGGATGAGAAGAGTAAGAACTTTTCTTTTGCTAGACGTCTTTATACTTAGTAAAGTATTCAGCCTTTCTTATAATTTATTCATTGTGGTCTAGCATAGTCTAAAATATCAAACCTTCCCCCTCTGTCCTTTTACATACGCATTTTTGATGCCTCTTAATTCATTATTTAAGCAGCCTGCGTTCTGCTTTACAAAATACCCTCCTCCCCAGTGCCTTAATGTTACCAGTTATTTGTGTATCCCTGTCGGTGGCTATCCAGCAGGGAAGGGGCAGGGTGGGTGGGATGCTGATCCTCCAGCCCTCGCCTCCTGTGCCCACGCCAGCTCTCCTGCTCGGTGAGGAGCAGAGGGCTTGGCAGCAAAAGGAATTGGGCAGCCAGAGCTCGAGCGCTGCAGCTCCAGCAAAGCACTCGAATATGTGCTGAAGTGATGCTTGAATGTGTGTTGCTTTGAAGCCTGGGAGCTCTTCTGAGAGAGAAAGTGGCTCAGTGGCACTTCAGAGAACGGGACACTGCAGCTCTCAGCACCCAGACAGCTGGGTGGGAACCCCCGCTCCTGCTGGGACCTGGAGTCCCACTCCCGGGACTCCATGAAAATCCATTTCACTGTCACAGCCCCTCCTGCAGCAGCAGCTGAGTTAGCGTGGGTGAGATGCAGGGCATCCCTTTGGTGGAAGTGCACCTGGAGCACAAAGTATTCCCTGTCTCGTCATTAATTACAAAGTTGGGTAACTGTCAACAGGAGCGTTTGCGGCTGAGAAACGTGTCTGCACATTGCGAAGCCTGAGCGATGCTTTGATTGGAATTCTTGCAGCAGCCTGTTTGCTCCCTGGGTATGGTGCTTGGACCTCTGCCAGATGTGCCATTCCACCCCCCCAGATTCCATGTGCAGCGTCTGCGAGGCGGGTCTGCATCCGGGAACGGGGGGTCCGGAAGGCGTCATGGTTGTAGCCCTGCTTTTCCCTAACAAAAGAGAGCGGGATAGTTGGTTCAGTGCAGAATATTAAACCCCTTAATTTAACAACAACAAAAAAAGGTTAAGTAAATTAAGAGGAACACAACTGCTCCAAACCTCCTGCTTATGCCCTTGGTTGCAAAACTGCCCTGGATATTGACAATTGAGTGTTTTTAACATTCCAACCAAAGAAAAAGTCGGAACTATTTGACCTGTTAATACATTTAAATAACCTGTTAATGCTTCAAAGAAAACATTTCTGAATGTTGTGTAATAAATCAATCTTTGCTTACTTAATAGCCACAATGTTT